TATTATCCGACTATAATTTCCCTACTTAGTACTAAGGAATCTAGGGATTAGACAGTTAACGGATCGACGGAGATAACTAATATCTACGTTATAGACCCTAAGGCGTAGGGTAAGGAATATCTTAATCTCCTATATTATCCGAGCTATAGTAGTATACTAGGCATTAGGTACTAGCTTACTAACGCGGTACGGCAAGCTACGCTATACCTCGATAGATAGGAGCTTCTTTCTATAGATATCCTATACTATCTTAGCCTAGATAGGGCCTCCTATACTATATCTATACGGCTCTCCTTCCTAGAGATTACAACGCGGCTATACTTAGACAACTACTTAATAGCCGTACCGATAATACGAGCCTAGAATATAGTCTTTAGAAGCCGAAGGATCTCGAAGAATTTTAGCTTCGTACTACTAACCTTATTCTCGCTATAGTAGAATATAGTATCGCCTGTTGCTATCTAAGCGCTTAGAAGAGGGTTCCTATCGCTATTCTTATCCTAGTATATACGTAGGATAGTAAATATATAGTTTGTAATAGTATAGAACTAGGCTAGCGATATAAGGAGGCTATCGCGCTTATCGTATAGGTCCTTATTCTCGATACTCTCGTTACGTACGCTATGCCTACGTACGATAGTTATATTATCGCAATTTTATATATATAGAGGTCCCTCTAGCCCGCTTATAAAGTCCTTATCGCGGTCTAGGTCCTAGAACTTAAGTAGGATCTCGTCCTATATAGTATATATACCCTTAATAGTCGCCTTATCGTTAAAGGAAATAGGCTACGAATATACCTCTCTATAGGCTGGGACTAACTTATTAATTACTAGCTATACTAGTCGCTTTAGGTTACTACCGCTCTTCTCGAATATTGCCTTTACGGCCTCTAGAAACGTATACGTAATAGCCTTATCGATATAGAAGAGCGTAGTCTTAATACTAATATTAGAAACCTCCTCTCTATCCGGTCGTATTACCTTATCTTTATAGATATTCTTAAAGATCTTATTAGCGTTTAGCGGCTTATCGTAATAGATTATCTTCTTCTTTAGGCTACCCTTCGGAATATGCTTATTAATAGCTATATAAGAGGTAGTTATAGCTCCTATCTAGTTAGTATCGCTAGTAGCCTAGTCGGGGTAGTTATATAGCTTAGCAATTTACGTCTCTATATAACAAGCATTCTTATCTATTAATATCTAGATAGTCTAATATACTAGAGTAATATTTAGGTTATTTAAGACCTCGATCGTACGACGACTCGTACTATTACTAACGAGGAATATTCTAAGGGCCTTTAGAAAGAATAATGCCTTAATATAAGATATAGAATATAGGACTTAAGAGGTTAGTAGCGTCGTACGCTTCCGTATAATATTACGCTTATTTACGAACTTAGTCCGGTACTAGTAATAATCGCGACGTACGTTAGGTAGTAGATTCTAGCTAAGTAACTAATACTATATAGGAGCGACCTATTAGATAGTATCGTCTATATCTACGAGGTCGATTTCGAAGGTATAGAACTCCGGTTTGTATATACTAAACAAATCCTTACTAATTAGGCTCTTTAGCTTATTACAAATAATACGAGTACTAAATAAGCGATCTTCTAGAAAGGTTTCGATAATAGCCTAGAGGTTCTTTTCGTATTACTTAGAGCGCTTAGTAGTCTTATAAGTTTTAGTAGACGTAGATACTTTGTCGCCTAGTTTATCGACTAGATATATAACGAAGTAGGCTATACTAACCTTGTTCTATACTATAGTATCCTTTAGCTCCTTATAATAATTATCGAGGAGCCGCTTAAGCGGAACGTCTTTACTAGTACGGCGTGCAATTTCCTCTTTCTCTTTCTCTCTATCTTTATTTTTATCTTTATCGACCCTATTATCTTTATCGCGAGTATCTAACTCCTCGTTACTACTAAGATCTTCGTCTTCTTCGCTAAGGTCTTTATCTATAGTCTCTAACTCCGACTACTTATCTTCGAAGTCGCTAACCCTAGCTATATCCGCTAGTTATACGATAGTCTCTAGTATATCGCTTAGGAAGCCGCTTATAGAGTATATCGGTAATACTACTATCTATCTAGGAAGAGGTAGACCAACTAGAGCGTACTACTAACCTAGCTAGTCTAGAAGTAGCGTATTATCTAAATCCTAGTCTATTAGATCGCTACTATCGTCTTACTACTAAGGTAGAAGGATTAGATTAACTTTATCGTCGTAATTATATACTATTATCTTACTAGAAGGTTCGTTAGATATCTTAATAGACTCGAGAGCTAGTAGCTATACTAGTAGCGGTAGTAGTAGTAGTGCTAGTAGTAGTTCTAGTAGCAGTAGTAGTAGCGGTACTAGTAGCGGTAGTAGTAGTACTAGTAGCGACTTTTAGGTATTTTAACCTTAGCTTTAGAGTTACAACTACTATATAGTAGTAACTTAATAACTATATATATATAAAAGGTGTTTAGAAATAGTCTACGAAGGACCTCGAAGTATCGAGTGGGCTATAGGAAGGTTATTAATTGCCCTCGAAGGCTATATAGCGGTTAGTAGGCGTCGGACGGAATTTTCGCCTACCTAAATAACAATCGCCGGCGTTAGGAGAAAGACCTATAAGTATTAGCTAGGCGATACGGATTAAGGTATTTCTAGTAGTATAGCTAGCTGCCTAGCAATCTAGATAGCTATAGTCGAGTCGGCTTAGTAGAATAGCGAAACCTTAATACGCTAATATCGTATAGACTTGTTTAATAGGTAGAATAAAGCGCAATTAGTAGGGCTATAACCCCCGCTATTTAGAATATCTTATATACGTTATAGTCTTATATTAGTGTTTAGTAGGCTAGTTTCGTATAAGTTTATATTAGGCTCGTAGGCGAACAATTAGGTAGAGTGCTCGTAATTAGTTATCGGTAAGTTCGGAAGCTAGCCCTAATTACTAATCTATTACGTATACTCTATCGCAATATAATCCCGATTTATATATCTAGGTATCTTAATTCTTTATACCTACGAGCCTTAATAGAGGAAGCTCCTATTATTAACTTCTAGTAGTATTATTAGAAACCTTAGCGGAGATTTAACGCGCTATATCGGGCACGATACCGAACTAGTTACTAATTAATAGCGCTATATTCTGCCTTAAACTATTAGCAAACTAAATAGCAATATACTTAAATTTATAATTATAGTGCCGTACTAAGCTTATAGTATATATAAATCTTATCTACCCTAATTACCTTCCGCTAATATCGTCGGAAACTAGTATAGAAATTATAAAGCCTCGATAGAGTATATACGGAACTATTTAACGATTAGTAGAGCCTTCGTTATCTTTATCCTCTTCTTACTATCGACGAACCTAGAAGTAATAGGCTTATATATCGTAAGCAAAGTGCCGTACTAGACTAGTTAAGAAAGTAGTAGTAGGGGCGATTTAAGCTATAGCGACTGTCTTTAATTAAGCCTAGGCCGATCTGCTATTATAAGATTAATAGACCTAGCTTCGAAGTAAGTAGAGATACCTATATTAAATATTCTCGTCCCTAACTCCTCTATCTATTTCTTTCTAAATATTCGAACCCGATAGTCTACTATGTCTAAGATAACGGATTAATTCGAGACTCTCTTTAATAAGCCTAACCTCCTCTAATTAATTAAATCTAGGCCGATCTACTCTTACTACTTTTATAGGGTTTTCTAAAAATATCCGTCTAAAGCGTTTCTATCCCCGGAGCTTATCTCTTACTTCTCTACTCTTTCGTTAGTAAAAATTTAATTTAAAGCCGATAGCCCGTTTCTATAAGATAACGGATTGATTAATTATTATCTTTAATAAGTGTAACCTTCTCTAATTAATCTAGTATAGGGCGATCTACTATTGCTATATAATAGCTCTAAGATACCTACGCTTAGCGTTCTTATACTTCGACCTACTCTTACTCCTTAATTAACCTTAACCCCTATATCCGATTTTTTAAACTTTGTCTAATAAGACGGATTAATCTTATCCGAGGCTAATTCTCCTCTAGTTAATTAAGTATAGGCTAATCTACTCTTACTACTTCGATAGGGCTAGCTTCAAAGCTTCGTTAAGTATTCTTATTCCTAGAGCGTCTCTTTCTCTTCCTAAATTAATACCTCCTCTAAAGCCTATAATCGCTTGTCCTATTTCTGTTTTAGCCTTTTTTTTATTTAGCGTAAGTCGAAGGTATAACAAGTACCTTCTACGATCGAAAAGGCCTACTTACTTTCTATACTTATTAATAAAGAAAATCCGGATCGAGGATAAAGCTATAGTAGATCGTAGAAGGTAGAAGGTTAATATAAACAAGGCAGTCGTATTAAGCGCCTAAGAAGGAGGTAGAATCTTTCTAATTAAGCCTAAGAAGACGGATTAATCGGAGGCTATTCCGTCGATAAGTTAAAGTTCGTTAGTTTACTCGTATACTCTCTTCTTACTTATATAGTTGTAGTAGTACGGTATCTACCGATTAGCGAGTAATCCGTAGACTTCTCGCTAGAAAGCAGAACGCCGAATAACGATATATTAATACGCTTATACCTAGGAGAAGAGTAGGCGAACTATAATAATACGGTACGTTAACGGAGGAGCTTTCTCCGTTTTAGTATAATAGAGCGTAGCGAGCTTACCTATATAGTAAGTAGGCGCTTTGTAATTATTCTATACTAGATAGCCTTAGGAGAAGACCTATACCTAATTAAACTAAACTACTTATACCGATAAAGACTCCCCCTATATACTAGAGTATATAGAGAAGACCCGGGAACCGATCGATATACGAATCTACGTAAAGCAACGATAATAGCTAATATATAGACGGTTAAAAGTAAGAGTAGGAAGTAGAAGTAGAGGTAAAGGGTTAAAGATAAAAGTAGAAGGTATAGTAAAGTCTTCGAGAGCCTAAGAAGGTAGTAGTAGAGGATTCTTATTTTTTGTTCCGGCTCTATCGGTAAGTGTAATTGCTATTGAATATTATATGCTATATCGGAACAAAGGAAAATCATAAATTCGTCGCTTAGGGCACACTACCGCACAGCTCCAGGTCTATCTTACTCCGTCTGCACTCTGCTTGCGCTATGTCGTTAAGAAGAAACATCATCAATTCGTCGCTTGGTGCTTGCTCCCAGGTCCATCTATCACGTCTGCACTCTACCAACCCCCTCCAAGACCTCTACAACCTCTCCAACCAAGTCCCTCAACTCCCTCGCAGCAGGAACAATCAATCCCTTAGACAAGTTCTTCTCGATCGAAGCAGCCGACAGTTGACGACTACCCGCAAGGCGCATGACTTCATTTCTGAACTCCAATCTTTCCTGATTACTGCCGTTCGCCTTGAGGTATGCGACTCGGGCTTGTACGTGGGCGGGGATGAATGATGGTAGGAGTGTCTGATCCTTTTCCAGAATGCGGATCCGCTCCTGCAATCCATGAGTGATTTTGTCGCGCGTAGAGAGCTTCTTCTCCAGGAGATTGTGGGATTTTGAGATGTTGGTCGAGGCTTGCTGGAGTTGCCAGTTCTGTTCCTGCAAGGCCGAAAGCTCTGAGTTCTTGTTTGAGACTTGCTCTTGGAGGTCGCGCAGTGCCGAAGAAGACGAATCCTTGCCTTTCGATTCGAGGTCGAAGATTCGGTCGCGCAGTTGCTAGATCTCGTCAGTGAGATCTGTTTCGATCTCCAAGAGACGAGAGTTTTCCTCCTCGAGGTCGGAGAGCTTTCTCATCACATCGACCTGGCCTGCTACTTGGCCTTAGAGATCACCAATGCTTTTCGTATTCTTCTCATCGGCCTGCTTCAAGGCAGTATTCTCATCTAGCAACTTGAAATTTTCATCCTGCTTCAAATGCAGCTGAGACTGCAGCTCACGGGCCTTGGCCTCAGCTAAGTCCTTTTCTTTCCGCAGGTTGCGGAGGTCTTCCGTCAGGTTCTTCTCGGCTATGCGAGACTGGTCCAAAGCGTCTCCAAGTTTGGCGTTCTTCTCCTTCGCCGATTGAGCTCGAGTATTCATCTCTTGCTGCTTGGCCATCAGTCTGCGCTCCTGATCCAGTGTCTTCTCGACTTCTTCCTGTTTTGCCCTGAGCTGGACCTAAGCATCATCCAAGACGAGCTCACGGGTCTTCAGTTCCTCCTTTTTGCTGTGGTACTTCTTGTCCTCCTCCCGACAAAGACGATGGAATTCATTCTCTCGGGCCATCAACCAATCAGAATACTGCTTAACATGGGTCGCATAAGTGTCGATGTGTTGCTGGTTCGTCGGGTCGTCCTGCACGCGGTTGTATGCGGCTGTCAAGAGACTAGTCCAGGTTTCATGCGAGTCCCTACCACCATTGTCCTTGGTAAGAGAGGCGGGGGGCGACATTTGCGAGGTAGTGATAGAGACAGAGTGCTCGCTGTCGTCTGGGACATCGGGGACATCCGACACAGGGGCATCGTTATGTAGAGCAGTCGACTTGAGAGGTGGCATCGGGGATGAAGGAGAAGCGGATGCTCCTTGGGCAAGCAAGAAGAGGTCCACAGCCTCTTTCAAGAACGATGCACGTGAAGAACTCCAAGTCGGCTTGCGGCTATAGCGCTCTTTGAACTTGGCCTCAAACTGTCTATACACCAAGTTGTGGCGTCGGCGTTGCTCGTTTGGATCCTGCGTTGCGGCCAGCTTGTCGTGGTGGAGGGCAATAAGGTAGAAGCGGTTGAAGTCTGTTGGGGTCACAGTTCCGAGAGCTTTCATTTCGTCGAGACGACTGTTCATGACTTCATGGCTGTATGGGAGGGCCTGGTTGCGTTGGCGCGGCATAATGAGGGAGCCGAGGATAGTCAACATCAATTGAAGGAAGAAATGGTGAAGTATATTGTGGAAAGGAGGAAACTGAGGGCAGAAGATGTGTCGTCTTATAACTTGTGGTATGCAGACTTCTGTGCGGCTTTTGTCCGAAGTAGGGTTGTATAACCTCTGTTCTCAGCAGGCTTGGATGATGACTTGCTTAGATGATGACTTCGGAAGTCGACAGATCGAATACGGGAATGGAATGCGGCACAAGTCGACTTGTCATGCAGGACAACCATTTTCGGATGCACTGTCTTGCAGGAGCTTTTCGGACGTAGGGTGTCGGAGGTCGGAGGTTGGAAATCGGCGCTGAGCTTCCCCGTCCACCCTGATTCTGATTGCCGATGGCCCGCTCGTCTTCAAGTTGCTGCGAAGGAGAAGGTGTCTGTCTCACAGTGCTCTATCACATCTAAAACAGCAGCGCCCTGAGCCGTCGCACGTCGCACGTCGCACGTCGCACGTCGCACGTCGCACGTCGCACGTCGCACGCATGTCCTGTTTGGCGCAGACGTCTGAGACCTTTAATCTCGCCTCTGGCATCACTGTTCGTTATGCTGTTCTCTTTCTAGGCAGAAGAAGTCCGCCGCCGCCGCCGCCAGTGGCCAGTGGTATTCCAACGAGAACGCCCGCCGGCGAGCGCACAGCATGTCATCGTCGCACGCGCTTACAAACGCCGTCATCAAGCATCCCCATCACAGCGACCACCGCCATCACCGCGACCACCGCCCTCGTCACCGCCTAAGATCCGCACTAGACGACGCCGACGAGGCTTGCATTATTGTTGCCTTAAACAAGTGGTGGGAGGAATTCTTCTCGCGCCTTCTCGAATGCGAGTCTGACGGCGAAAACTTTACCCTCCTCCTCCCTCCCGGATCTCCTTCCGATCGAGGCCATACTCCTGACCAATTCTACATCGACCAGCTTGTCGCGTGGCACCGTGAACATGAACCACCACCACCACCGAACGCTCCCACCGAACACTGCTTGTGGCATTTCATTCAGACTGACAATGATGCCTATGTCGCACGCCGAATCGCCTCGAGCCCGCTCTACCTCGCCGCCCGCGCCGCTATTGCGCTAATCCTCGACAACCATATCAACATCTGGCGTCTTCGCTGGTCCACGGGCTCAAAAAGTTGGCACTTCGCTCTCGATGTCCACACTACATTACCAAATCTCGAGCGGCACTTAGATAAGTGGTATGAGAAGGCCTGTCGCCAGGACGTAGAGGAAGAGGTAGCTAGGATTGAAGCACGGTATGCAGAGCAGTGGAAGGGAAGAGATGCGGCGCTTAGCAACAAGATTGAGTCTACTGTTCTGCGATGGCGATTGGAGGCTGAGAGGCTGGATGTCGCTGTGCACAGGCAGGTGCAGGACCGCGACCTCGTGCCTGCGGTGCATGCGACCGGAGAAGAAATCACTGAGGTCGCGACGGGGGAAGTGACTACCACCATGCCTTGTTCTTCTCCTACACAGAAGTCTTCTGCAGGTCTAGAGGTCGAGGCATCTGCGCGTCCCCGTCAACCACGACCCTGGCATGAGTCGCTGGTAGAGCTGTTTGAGCTCTGGACCTGGCGTCTGGCGAGAAGGTAAACAATAGGGAGGGCCGTACTCGCTAAACTTGCTAGATTGTAGAAGTTGTATATTCTAGTCTGCTCTACTAGGCTAGCCAACTATATTGTATAGAGTATCTCTAACTACCTACTATTCCCTCGTCTACGCTATCGCCTATAATATAAATAACTACTAGTAGCTCCTAAGTAGTATAGATTACGTATTATCTATAGGTATAGGATAGGTTAGGCAAATATAATAGTATAGATTATAGTAGTAGAGATATTATAGGAAGAGATTATAAGCGTAGACGTATAGCTATCGCTTACTTTTATAAAATAAACTGTTCGATCTAATACTTTCGCTTAGATAGTAAAAGATAAGCAACTAGATTTAGGCTAGATAAACTACTAGCGGTAAGTCTACGTTAGTATCTATAGATATATTAATATATAGAATAATAGAGCTAGCTATTAGTAGTATTTAAAATAGTATACAAAGTAGGCTTAAATTAATCTTTACTATAAGATATAGGTCTTTCTATATTGTAGTATCCTACTACTACTATACTTACTATCGCTACTAGTACCGTTTAGCGGAAAATATATTAATTAATATAACTTTAAGTAAAGCTTTCTATAATCTCTAGGTAGAGTCTATAGACTTCTAGTAAGGAACCTATTATAGAGTTCTTAAGATATATAAATTTATAGATATATTAATCTATTATCTAAGCTAGACTAGAATAAATAGTCTCTTAAAACATTATCTTATAGTAGGTAGATATCTTATCTATATCTCTATAAATAAGTCTCTAGATATAGTAAATCTTAATCTAGATAGATATTTTATAGTATAAGAAGCGTAAATTATCTACTAAGGCCTAGCGTCTACCTAATCAAGAGTCTAGCGCGCTAAACTCTAAATCTAACGTAAATATAGTATATCTATTATATTAGCTAGTATTAGCTCTATCTAGCTAGCGATAGCTAAGTATTATAATATATTAACTATAATACTAAAGAAATACTACTATAGCGAGTACGAAAGGCTATCGCTATATAGTATAGACTTAATATAATAACAAGCAGGTTATACTAAACCGGTATTAGCTAGTAGAAGGCGTTTTCGAAGAGGAGAGGCCTTTAGCTATATCCTATATAGTAATACTATTTTTAAGATTAGACTATTATAAAGAGATTAGCTCTAAAGCTTTTAGTAACTCGCGGCGAGACTTTTAGTAACTCTATATTATACCTTCGCTTATACTCTATCGATAACTAGCTTCTAGCCGCTATATTCGAACCTTTAGTTAAAAGGCGCCTTATCGATAGCGTATCTTATTTTAGGGTCTATTAAGCCTAAATTTCAAGTAAAAATCTACTAGTAAGAGCTTAGAAGATAGAGGATATATTCTTATTAGCTTTCCTACTACTATTATATATAATCTCGTCGAGTTATAATAAGCCTATAAAAGTAGAGAAAAGCGCCGCGATTATATTATAGTTATCTATATAGATTACTAGTAGTCCTAGTAAATCCTTAGGTATAGAAGAGAGTATAGGAAGTATATTCTCTAGTAGTTTATCGTATATATAATTATAACTATATACGCTATCGATAGGGCGTTAAGAAGCCTACTACCGTCTCTATATACCGGCTACGAGTACCGGCTATACCTCTAAATAGACCCCGCAGTAGTTCGGGTTGGTTTAGTTTAGTTTGCTAAGCCGAAACTCTAGTTTGGTTTAGGTTGGTTTGCTAAGCAACTATATAAGTAGCTAGTTCGAACTATATAATTTATCGGTTTTTAAGAAGTGTACGAATATGTACGTAGCTTCAAGCAAGCCCTTTATAAGACTTAGCAGTATAGCCGGTAGCGTAGCCGGCATTTTTAGTCCTTAGTACTTATAGAATTTTCGAATCCTACTTAGGCTACGTAGTTGTATAAAGGTACTTATATAACCTTAAATCTATAGACAATTAGCTAAGGGCACTAACCAATTAAAAGCATATATATATATAAGGCATTATAGTTTAGTTCGGAAACTATACTCCTTAGGTATGAATTTTATCCTTTCGTTTACGGTTTAATTCCCTAACTGCTTAGTAGAATGTCTTTATCTAGATCTAGGTAGAACTTATCGATTTCCGTCGAAGCTCTCCTTAAGAAGTTCTAGCACTTTCCTACTAAACTATACTCTAATATTAAGTACTAGGATAGCTCCTCCCTCGATATCGGTACTATATACGAAACAGCTATAAGGCAGCTCTATAGGGCGTTCTACTAGTTACTCGCTATACTACGGCCGAATGCTAGTTCGTTCCTTAGAACTCTAGGTTATTTAGTAGATATTAAGGATAGGGTAGGTAGTAACTTCGTATTGTATAAGGAAGTAGAGGCTACTATAGAGGAGTCCTTCAACCTATAGAAGATAGTAAAAGATATAGAGGTAACTACAGGTCTAGGTACCTAGTTGAATTTCTAGTAGGTAGAGTATAAGGATATTTAGTAGGAGTATTAGGTAGAGTTGCGAAAGCAGGTATATAATATAGTCTAGAGAACAGGGATAATACCTATAACTATAAGTATTAGGTTCTTTAATCTTCCTCCTTTTTTCCTTATTTTCTTTTTATAAAAATCCAAACTAATACAAATTAACTAGAATATCTATCTTCTTTTAGTTCTTTATAAGACCTAGTAGCGTAGCCGGTAGCGTAGCCGGCAGCGTAGTCGGCCTTTTTACTCCTAAGCACTAACGGGTTTTTCGAAGACTTCTATTCTATACGGCTAATAAAGTATACTATACTATATAGGTATACTTAGAGAGTATTTAGAGCGCGGTATATAGCGCCGTATAACAGCGGCTTATTTCGTATATAGAAAAGCTTATAGACGATACTACGAATATCCTTCCTACTAGTATATCTATCCTATCTAGCACTATCTCGAATATAGATATTCTAGCCTTTTAGAATCTGATCGAGTGCTTTAAAATCCTTATCTATAATCGTTATACGCTTCGCGTAAATAGCTATAAGGTTGACCGCTGAAATAGTATTAGTATAGTCCGAAAAGAGGTAGAAGAGAAATATATATTCGAAGATACGAACTAGGTAGGGTTCTATAGCCTCTTAAAGGGCGCCTATCGCGGAGGCTTAGAAGCGAAGGTCCGTTCTATAATCCTAGGCAATTTCGCGAATAAGTCGTTAGAAAGGAGCTTTACGGATTAGGAGCTTAGAACTCTTCTAATACTGCCGAATCTTACGGAGGGCTACGGCTAAAGAAGGATTAGTAAAAAGACAGTAAGAATGCCGGCTACGCTGCCGGCTACGCTACCGGCTACGCTGCCGGCTATAAATAGAACTTACTTCCTAGGCGCTATCGACGCTTCGTACGATTGCTACTAGTAGTAGAAGCGCTAGTTGTCGTCTTACGTAGAGCCTTGCCCGCCGTTGTCTTACGCGGAGCCTTACTCGCGACGCCCTTTCTAGTACCGGAGCTAGCGGTAGTAGTAGTAGCCCTCTTATATTAATATACTATACTCGTTCTATTATTTCCGATCTTGTTACGACCCGTAGAAGTAGCAGGTCCCTTCTTACGAGGCGTCGTAACTTAGTTAAGTAGACTCGCTATTATAAAAGTCGTCGAATTAAGGAAAAAAGTGCGTTACGAAAGTATACGAAGGCGCGCGTAGAGCGAGGATATTGCGGAGGTAGTAGATATAGAGCGTAGAGGTATAGGTATCGATACGAAGGTTAAATATAGCGAGAGAGGTAGTATCGCGGTATCGCTAGGCAATAGAGTAAGCTTCGCGTAAGCCTATATTATAGTAACGTTAGAGTAAGGAAAGAAGGCAGGTACGGCTAAAAAAGGCGGGCATAGCTAAAAAAGGCAGGTACGGCAAACTTTGAAATATAGCCGGTATATATAGCTAGTATAGTAATAGGCGAAAGCCTCCTTTTAATAAATAGCCGGCGTAATAATAGTATCCTACTATAGTATAGATATTCTTTAGTAATGCCTTTACTAGCTATAGTAATCTTATAAGTAACCTAGGCCTATTGCTAGTAAATATAAGAAATATTAGGTAGGCTATACTAAACAAGCTAGTTATTTAGTAGGAAAAGGCCTACTACCGTCTCTATATGCCGGCTACGAGTGCCGGCTATCGCTCTAAATTTAACTCCGCCCTATCTCGGAGGCTAAGGTACCGAGCGGAAACCCTATAGCTTATATTTACTCGGTTGTCGCGGAGCGCTTATAGGTAAGGTATTAGAAAAGAGTATAAAAAGTACGAGAAGAGTATCCTAGGATATAGGTCGTAAGTGAATAAGAGTAGCACGCCTAGTTATTTATATAGTACGTTACTCTATACGACTAAGAGCCTATATTATCTTATACTTCGCTTATAAGACCTCGACTCTACTAGTATACTATCGATCTCCTCCTCGGTCGCTAATACGCTATCTTAATTCTTCTTCGAGTTGCCGGACTTAGTACGTATCTATAGCTATATAATAGCGCTACGTATTATAGAGAATCAACTCCGCCGTATCTCGAAGGCTAAGGTACCGAGCGGAAATCCTATAGCTTATATTTACTCGGTTATCGCGGAGCGATTATAGGTAAGGTATTAGAAAAGAGTATAAAAAGTACGAGAAGAGCATCCTAGGATATAGGTCGTAAGTAAATAAGAGTAGTACGCCTAGTTATTTATATAGTACGTTACTCTATATAACTAAGAGCCTATATTATCTTATGCTTCGCTTATAAGACCTCGACTCTACTAGTATACTATCGATCTCTTCCTCGGTCGCTAATACGCTATCTTAATTCTTCTTCGAGTTGCCGGACTTAGTACGTATCTATAGCTATACAATAGCGCTACGTATTATAGAGAATTTCTCGTTAAAGTTTCTCTCTCGTAGGCTTACTATCTACCTTATAGTATAGAGGATTAAAGTACTAATACTAAAGAATCTCCTTATAGTTAGGATACTAGGGCTCCTTAGGACCTTTATATTTTAGGTCTAAATAGAGACGTATTATAAACGTTCTATCGCCCTTTCGCTTACTATCCGCTAGGTCGCGATATACGAAGAAACTAATCTAAATGTAGCTCGTCTCTATAATAGCCGGGT